GGCAGGTAAAGACGTCAGCCCGTTCTACAGTAGTTACGGTGTCATAAACACATCAAGATGTTCAGAAGACAGTAGACTTTACCATCCCTCTCCTTCCCCGGAGCACTGGTTTCCCCCGTTATTCGCATTTATGGTGGTACCCACCTGGCCACGCCCACCTGGGTTGCCCCTATATAAGGCCCCAGCAGACACCCAAATTCATTGGCATTCGGTGCTCTCTCTGATGGTGGTATAGATTGATTTCTAGACTTGACTAGGTTGGATCGATCTATACCCCCAGTAGAAGTGTTTCGATTCTTATCTATGGAACCCCGACTGGGATCCTTATTCTCTATTTTTCTGGATATCCACTTCCCCTTCCTGGAACCCCGATTGGGATCCTTTCTTTTAATTTTCCTGGAAATTTCACCTTATATTGTGGCATTATTTTTCTAATAATGTATTATCACACCTGCTATGCTCGTCTATTCTCCACTGCCACACAATCCTTTTTGAATTGGAATTGTGCAAACCATCGCACGCAAGTTTGGAGGAAAAAGCGGCTAGTGATGTTTGGAGATCTTTTTCATGTATTCAAAAGTAAGTTGATTTTTGAGATGAATATACTTCTAAAAGTTATAAAATTTTCAGCAATTTGAATAAAGACAATGACAATTGGTGCCGTTGATAACATCGATTACCAACAAAAAAAGGCGCAGCCATTTGATGCATGAAAACAGAGGGAGTGTTCTGAGGAAGCCGTGGCAGACGTGGACCATTTCGAAAGCTGGCAAGGTCGAAAGAAAATTGCCCAAGGACCAGTCACCACCACCAGGCTCCACATATGCCGATACAAAAAAAACCAAGGAGGCATGCCCGCTCAATTAACGGTCGCAGTTGGGGCTCGATTCATGCTGCGGAGAAACATGAGTATTAGAGATCGTTTGGTGAATGGAGCAACTGGACATATCACTGAGTTGAAGATGAAAGACGAAAAGGTAGAATACATATTTGTTCAGTTTGGCGGAACAACTGTTTCTGTGCCAATCCGGATAATGGCTGCTCCATTTCTCCACAAAGATACCGTTATGATCCGAGAGCAGTTTCCTCTGGTTATTGCCTATGGTGCCACTATTCACAAATCCCAAGGACTCACTTTGAGAAATGTTGTCGTTCGTTCTCGAAACATTTTCCAAGCTGGAATGTTCTATGTAGCTGTTAGTCGTGTCACCTCTTTGAAAGGACTTCATTTGGCTGGATTGCATACAAACAAGATAATTTTCGATGAAGATGCATCAAAAGAAGCGAACAGGCTCCGTTCAACTCTGAATCCTCCATTGTCGCCATTACAATGTGGAGTAAATCCGAAGAAGAATATGTCGGATTACTACGAAGCAGCCAATGATTCCAAACAAGCAGCATAGAAGAAAACGGATTCATTTGAATATTCAGAAAATATTTCGTCCTAATAAATTTCTTTTTGATAATATAACTTTTTCTTGTTTGAAAAATCACATGGAAGATTATCAAGTATTACGATTCTGAACATCAATTCTAATTTTTCAACGAATTCTACAAGTCCTTAAACATTTGAACGTAACATCGGAGGCTCAGCTACATAGTCGCAAAGAATACAATTTGTTGTTTGCAGTGATTTTTCATCTTTAATTGAGCCCCTAATTACAACAAGAGTGCTTTGCATTGATTAAATAAGGGAGCACAAATATGATATTCTTTTTTTTCCAGCCCCAATTATTTTAGGTCCCATGAGAGATATAAAAAAGAGCTAACGATGCTTGCGACAACTTTTTAGAGACATCGAGACAACGAAAGTCAAGTGCACTGTTTTTTTCTGTCAGTCTGATTTTTTTGGAATTTGTTTCTTTCTGGAAGTCTGTGAAAAAAATCATTTTTTCAATTTCAATATTTATTCGAATTTAAGAGGAAAATTAAATAAAAAATTAAATGGCATATCCTATGTTCCAGCTGAAAAGGAAACTATTTTAATCTAAAAGTCGGGAAAAAAAATTAACTTAGTTCATTGTGGAATATCTGTATTCCTGGTTCATATACAGTCGCTCTGGAAAAAATGATATAAATAACGAAATTCCAAAATTTCGAAATTCCAGAATTTCCGAATTTCCTGAAATAATTGTTTGAGAATTTTTGGAAATACAAAAAATGTTCGGAATTCGGGAAATTCGGAATGTGCTTAAATTTCAAATTTGCTCTAACTCACATTTTAAGTGTCAATCCTTTTTTTCCCAAAAAATCAACCATATGTGCAGATGTCGCCATAGTCTTGCTCATGGTTTTTCGACAGAAAAATCTGAAAATTAAAAGAAAATCTTTGGCCAAAAATTGTATAAAAACTCACCATATTTTCAGCAATCATATGATTTTTTAGAGATTAGAATATTTTAGGAAATTTCAGAAAAATTAAAAAATAGGGACTCGATAAATCAGATTAGAGTCAAAATAAAAACGCTATATATATATAACTTGTTTTCTCAGAAAAATCATTTTTTGAGGCTCGAAAAGTCAGGTTAGAGCCAGAGAAGTGGAAATATGTATAGAATGAAAAAAAATAAAAAAAATTCTTTTACACACTCTCTCGTCCTGCTTTTTTCTGGGAATGTGCTGAGCACATTGTGCTCTGGGAATGCTCTCTCTTTTTCATCTTTTTCTAAACTTTTTAGCGAGAAAAGAGAATCGAAAAATTCAGACAATTAAAACTTCAAAAATTCTAGAAGTTTAAGAATCTGGATCCTGGAAAACCCTGGAAAAAAACCAAAATCACAAAAACAGCCGTCTGGAGAAACAAAAGAATGTGGAGGTGGAAACAAAGAAAAACAAATGAAATCATTGATGGGGGATCCCTCTAGAG